GGAAGGAAGGAAGGAAGGAAGGAAGGAAGGAAGGAAGGAAGGAAGGAAGGAAGGAAGGGAGGGAGGGAGGGAAGGAAGGAAGGTAGGGAACATTTTGCTCGTGGCTAAAACCTCTTCTCCCTCAGTCTCAGAAAGTTTGGGAAATGAGGATCTGTGTTGCTACTCCCTGGCATTTTTAGGCACTCTATCAGAGGTCCAAGTGGACCAGGAGTCACATTCACCTATCACCATCATATGACATGAATCCTGTAACTGTTGGTACAGGGATCATATGACAGCATTTCAGGCAAACCACCAATCCAGGAATGAGAGCAATTAGTATTTCCTGTTTATTTATCTTATTTTTTTTTAGGCTAATCATCTGGTTCTTAGTCTCAAATTCAAATGTTTGCCTTGTATTATTTTAGGTACCCAGAAACAATCCACCAAAATAGATGCCTCTAGTACAGCCCGGGGACTCATTAGATTAATTAATTAGTAGTGGTCAATAAACACTTTGAAGTCCTTTTATTAAAGGAGCCACCTAAATCCAAAGTATTATTATAACCAGGTCTAATGAGGTCAGTGGTTTAAAGAGATGGTTTTAAACCATATATAAAGCTCCTCTACCAATTGTTGGCCCAGAAGAAGGTAAGAAAAGGCAGGTGAGTCTACATGCTGGTATTTAAAAGCTTCCTTTATGGTGGTGGTGCCATACTGAGGTCTGGTCAGTTGAAGCCAGAGGCACAGTGATTTACTGACTAATGGATTCTCCAGTTGTTAAACCTCTGTTATAAGACGAAGGCCATCAGTCTAAAATCTTGACCTACAGGTTGCTGCTTTGGAAGACCTTCTCAGAGAGAGAGGGAAGATTTTTCTCTGGGAGGCTGCAGATGAGGTACGTGCTGGCTTTCTTATATCTTGTAAAGTTTATAGCCCCCACTTTTGAATGAAACAGAGAAAAAGAGCTCACTGGGAAGAAACAGAATACAACCAACCTCTTCAGTGTGTGTGGGGGGGGTAGCCTACATAAAATGTGCACAGACTTGTAGCAATATGAAATTGGACTAAAATGAGTTAAAGGTTTTTGCATAAAAAAGAGAGTAAGGCAAGGAGCCATTTGCTGAGTGAGACTCAGAAAACAATAACCTGAAACTGGAAAAATGGGTGTGGAATTAGAAATGACTCCACATTATTTATTTTTAAATCAAAGGAACTTTAAAGAAAGTTTTAAAACTAATCACTTTCTATTTCAAACCAGAACACATCTTGTAGGATAAGACCCGCCACCATGCTGCCCTCTGTTGTGTTTTGGGGACTTATGACCCTCATTGGTAAGTCGTTGATTGATGTTTATCATTGTGCTCAGAGAGTTTGTGAGAATTTCCAGCATTGTCATGAATCAGATAGAGCTGGAGCTGGGGGCCGGGCTCTGTGGTAGAGTGCCTGCTTAGCAAGTGTGAAGCCTGGATCCCAGTACCAGGGAAAGGAAGGGAGAGGAAGCAGGAGAGACAGGAACAGGGGGGGGGGGAGAAAGGGAGGGAGAGAGAAAGGGAAGGAGAGAAGGAAGGGGAGAAGGAGGGGAAGAGGGAAGGTAGAGAAAGAGGGAAGGAAAGGAAGAGGGAAGGGAAGGGAAGGGAAAGAAGAGGGGAGGGGAGGGGAAGGGAAGAGAGGAAGAGAAGGAAGGAAAAACTGATTATATGCAATGGAAGTATGGGCTTTTCTGACTGCTCGTCCATTAATCAACTGCTTATTTCTGTAATTAAGAGTGTATGGTAGCTAAGCACTGGTGACTCACATCTGTAATTCTAGCTACTCAGGAGGCTGAGATCTGAGGATCTCAAAGCTAGCCCAGGCAAAAAACGTCCATGAAAATTTTACTTCTAATTAACCACCACAAAGCCAGAAGTAGAGCTGTGGCTCAGGTGGTAGAGCAAAAAAGCCCACGGACATCATCCAGGCCTTAAGATTAAGTCAAGAAAGAAAGAAAGAAAGAAAGAAAGAAAGAAAGAAAGAAAGAAAGAAAGAAAGAAAGAAAGAAAGAAAGAAAGAAAGAAAGAAAGGAAAGGAGGAAGGAAGGAAGGAAGGAAGAGAAAGAGAGAGAGAAAGAAAGAAAGAAGGGAAGGAGGGAAAGAGAGAGGGAGGGAGGGAGGGAGGGAAGGAAGGAAAAAGAAGAAAAGAAAGAGAAATCCCAGTATGTGGAGTGTAACCTGGTGCTGGTGGCTCAAGCCTGTAATCCCAGCTACTCAAAAAGCTGGGTTCTAAAGATTGTGATTCAAAGCCAGCCCAGGCAGAAAGGTTTTATCTGCAATTAACCACCAAGCTGGAAGTGGAATGATGGCTCAATTGATAGAGCTCTAGTCTTAAACAAAAAAGCTAGCACCTATGTCCTGAATTCAAGCTCCAGGACTGGCATGCAAAAAACATGTATGATATATGCTTCTTGCCAAGCAGGTAAAGAAGATAGCAGTTGGGAGCTGGGAAGATGGCTCAGTGGTAGAGCGCTTGCCTTGCATGCATGAGGCCCTGGGTTCGATTCCTCAGCACCATATAAGCAAAAGAAAAAAGCTGGAAGTGGCACTGTGGCTCAGTGGTAGAGCGCAAGCCTTGAGCTGAAGAGCTGAGGGACAGCGTCCAGGCCCAGAGTTCAGGCCCCACGACTGGACCCCCCCCCAAAAAAAAGAAGATAGCAGCTGGAATTCAATATGAATTTATCCACATACTTTCTATCTCATACTTTCTATCTGACAGTGTGCCCACTAGGCTTGACATCTTATCAAGAGATATATGGAACTGTACCTTGAAATATACAGAGATAATTATCAAGGCCAGGCAGGAGATAAGAGTTAAGTTAAAATCTCAGGCAAAAACACTAATCTGGGAGGAATTTGGGAAGAAAAGCTCACATATCAGCTAGGAAGTTCAGATCTGAAAGCCTGGAGGGAGGACGTTAAAGTTGAAGGAGGGGGCTGGAATGTAGCTCAGTGGCAAAGCGCTTGCTTAGCAAGTGAAACGTCCTGGGTTCAATCCCCAGTACCAAAAAAAGAAAAAAAACATAAAGTTGAAGGAGGCTTGGTGATTTAATACAAGAAGGAGAGCATCCTTTGCATGGAAGAATAAGAAAAGACACAGAGGCAGATATGCTTGAGAAGTATGTGGGAATAGGTCTGTGTGCCCAAAACAGGAGAGTCTTAAGAGAAAATTGGCAACATGGTAAGGGACTTTGAACTAGGAAAGATAGAAACTTAAGCCGAAGGAAATGAAAAGCCAATGTAAGCAATGTTGAAGTTGTCTTTATTTTAGAGTGGGAATTGAGATAAAAAAAATTTCCAAGTTTAATCTTTGACAGGTGCCAGTGACTCACGCCTATAATCCTAGCTACTCTGGGAGGCTGAGATAGAAGAATAATCGCTTGAAGCCAGTCCTGGCAGGGAAGTCCACGAGATTCTTATCTCAATTAACCAGCATAAAGCTGAAGAGGAGCTGTAGCTTAAGTGGTAGAGTGCCAGCCTTACACAACAACAACAAAAAAAAAACTCAGGGACAGTGACCAGGCCCTGAGTTCAAGATGGACATGCATACACATGTACAGTTCAATCCTAAATTTAGAAAAGTGAACCTATCTAAAAGCAATAATTTGCATTTACTTGTGGTCAAAAGAAGGCAATATAGCTTTACATTTTTACCCACTTCTAATTGCCAAGTGGGAGCTTTTATATAGCCAGCTATATGAGCTACGATACTATCTGTGTACAACTAACTGATGAGTGAATATAATTTAAAAGAACCTGTGGGGTTGGGTGTGGTGGTACACCCCTGTAATCTCAGCTATTTAGGAGACAATGATAGAAGGATCATGGTCTGAAGTTGGCCCTGGACAAAAGTAGAAGACACTATCTTGGGCTGGGCATGTGGCTTAAGGAATAGAGCACTTGAAAGGTTCTGAGTACAAGTCTTGGGCTTTCGAGCTAGATCCTGGTTCTGAAGATCTGGCATGTGAAGCCCTGGGTAGGCATTTTTCATTAGTACTCCCTCCACATCACAGTGATAAATATGCTCGTAGGTAGTGAGCCAGTCAGCAAGCAGGTACTGAACCTGTCAATATAAATTAAATAAGATTGCTGGGTACCAGTGGCTCATGCCTGTAATCCTAGGTATTCAGGAGGATGAGATCTGAGGAACGTGGTTCAAAGCCAGACTAGGCTGGAAAATCTGTGAGACTCATCTCCAATTAACCACACCAGAAAACTGGAAGTGGCACTGTGGCTCAAAGTGATAGAGCACTAGCCTTGAGCAAAAGTGCTCAGAGACAACACCCAGGCCCTGAGTTCAAGTCCTATAACCAACAACAACAACAATATATATATATATATATATATATGTAATTAAGATTGAAAATAAAAAATTAAATAAGATAATGAGGACCAGAAAATGAGGTGTGGTATGCTATGTTTTTAAGATAGTTGGACAAAAAAGGCTCTCTGATAAGTCATATTTTGTGTGTATTAATATTGAACTTGTGTTTACATGCTAAGCATGTAACCACTGATCTATGCTCTTAGTCTCTTTGATAAAGTAGCTTTTAAAAAAACTTTAGCTATAGAAATTTTCAAACATATAAAACAGAAGAATTTATAGTAAGTATTCATACACCCATAATTTTCAATATTTGCCATTTAAAAAAATATATCCTGCCAGGCATGGATGGCTCACACCTATAATCCTCTCTACTCAGGAGGCTGAGATCTGAAGATCATTCTTCAAAGCCAGCCCAGGCAGGAAAGACCTGAGACTCTTAACTCCAATAAACCACTCCGAAAACGAAGTGGTGCTGTAGCTCAAGTGGTAGAGTCCTGGCCTGGAGCTGAAGAGCTGAGGGACAGCATCCAGGCCCAGAGTTCAAGTCCCATGACTGACAAAAAAAAAGAAAATATATCCTGCACTCTTGCTTTAGTGTGTGTGTGTGTGTGTGTGTGTGTGTGTGTGTGTGTGTGTGTGTGTGCGTGCATGTGCGCATGTGAGCTGGAACTTGAATTCAGGGTCAAGGCACTGTCCCTTAGCTTTTTGCTCAAGGCTGGCACTCTACCATTTGAGCACACCTCGACTTCTGATCTTTTTTTAATCTATTTTTTTATTGTAAAGATACTGTACAGAGGGGTTACAGTTACATGAGTAAGGTAATGAGTATATTCCTGTTGAGCATTGTTACCTCCTCCTTTGTTTTTGTCCTATCATCCCTTCTTTCCTCCCCACCTCGTCCCTCCTGCTCCCACAAAACCCCGAAGTTGTAAAGTTCATTTTCAACATAGTGTCTTGTACATCTCAGTGTTACAATGGGTCAACCTGTATCCTTATTTCAGCATTTTGTCATTTTCCTTCCCCTCCCCAAATTACAAAAATGTATATACAAGATGCAGGACACCGACATCCAATACAGTGAAAACAGGGGTCATACCATGGGGGAAGAACATACAAAAGAAACAAACAAAAAAATCACACAGTACATTAAAAACAACAGCAACAAAGAAAAAACTTCTTGGGTCCCTATCTTGGGGTTCATTTCGCTTAGCATCATCTTATAGAGTCATATATACATAATTTTTTTTACCTTTTCTGCTTGTCCTAGGCATATACTTGTTATTACAAATAAGGGAAACCATGGGACCTATGTTTCTTTGGGCCTGGCTTACTTCACTTAATATAATTTTTTTCCAAGTCTTTCCATTTCCTAACAAATGGGGCAATGTCATTCTTTCTGATGGAGGCATAGAATTCCATTGTGTAAATATACCACATTTTCTC